TAACAATAAGAGGGTTCAAAGCCCCTTGCAACAAACTGGAATACCGCAGCCTCACTATTACACTAAACGCACCCGAACATTTTCCAATTATTGCGCATAAGGAAACAATATCTTTCGTAAACCTGAAAGCAGTAAAAGAAACAACCTCGAACTGATGGCTGACCGGCAAGATTGACTGCTCAAACGGAGAAGGCTATTTAACCGGAGACTGCTAACACCAGAACTTGATGTGCTAAAATGAGAAAGAAGTTCTTCCAAGCCTCTCACACACTTCACAAGTACAAGGCCATTCCTTAACGTACACACACTGGGAGGTGAGGCGAACACAATCCACCTTTTTTAAACAAAAATGTCACTAACATCAATGAACCACGGCCAACTTATTTTTGACAGAAGCTATCAGGCCGCGTTAATAGTTGACACTTTGAAGAAATGGCGAAATTATAGGTAGTGTAGATTAGTAGTATCGATTTGAAGAACCAAGAAATTGGAAGAAATGCTGAATCTGCAGCAAAAAAGGGAAGCACAGGTATCAGTTTAAAGAAATGACAAAACTGCATAAATTCTGCAGGATGCATTTCGCCCACCAATTAGTCCCCATAATATCTTTGTCCGTCCCTTCGGCATTTCTGGAGATTATATATTTATCCCGATTCCGCGGTTCTTCAAATCAACTCGCATACTTTCTTCTTACCGCAGTTAAGCCATTTCTTCAAAGTCCTCCTGTATATTCAAAACGTGACTAAGCACTTCAAAAAGCGCGAAAATATGCATCGAAGTCAATGCACACGATGTTAATTGTGCGTAATATAAGCTAGGTAGGTATCCGATAGAACAACCTGCACGCAGCTGAAAATCTGGAATTGTCGGACTGAGCCAGCATGGCGATATGATGCTCGAAAGATTCCAGGTCATCATCACTGTCATCTTCTTCATCACTATCGTCATCAGGTCCTTAATGAATATTATATTATTTAAAATAGCAAGCATTCTGCACTATATGTGAAAAAATTACTTATACATAGCGTTTCAATTATGTCTGGAAAAAGAATCTACTAAGAAAAAAAGAGAACCAAAAGCTAAAGTACACAAAAACATATTAAACTCTCACAATGAATCAAAGTTAAGAAGCGTGCAATGTCGGTGATCATTTTTTGCAGAGAGCTATCTCCTTGGTTCATATGAATTCTAAGGCTTCAGGGGTCGATTAGTACCTTTTCGAATATGCCGCGTATTCTACACTCATTCAGAGTCGAAGGGGATGCTCTGAATCCATTGGTCCATGCAAACAGCTGCGGTGGCCAGCCAACGTAGAAATCATTATTTCTCATATTTCGAAGGTAACTGGCCAATTAACCTACCCCGGAGGGATGGGCTTGATTGGATCAGGACGGAACCAAATCAAAACTTGGTCCCCACCCTTTGCGTAGGTAAACTTCGTCTTTGTTATCGCACCAATACTGCCCTTCTCATTTCATGTAATTTTTACGGATACGGACTGAATTCTCACCTCTGAAAATAGGCTCACTATCCGACCAAAAGCTGCAAAGATTGAGCAACTCATTCATCACCATAGCATCGTCTTTTCCTAATTCTTCTTCACAACCACTGCAATAACAGTATTACTGTACACTCGCTGCAGATATAAAACGCGTCTCAGCAGTTCAGCCTTGATCGCCGCGGCATATCTCTAGGCAACGAACTTTCGCTTTGGGGAAACCTGATTCTCCTTGACCACGCACGTCACCACTAAGTTGCATCGTCAAAGCATGTCCAAAAACACACTGGCTGAAATATGTCGCTAAAGCGGCCTGCGCAGAACCACGACATCGCCCCTACGTTTTTGGCGTCAAAAACTGCCCCATTCGCCGTGCTATACCTTTAACGCCGATTTACAGAGAGGGCGGCGGGGGCACATTCATGAGCGCAAAACACCAGAACAATGACAACGGCCGTCGATGAAAACTTCAGCCCCCCAACATTCCAGAGCCAGTGCAAAACACACAATTAGGTAGCGCTACGCATAAGACCCTCCCCCCTTCCTCGCACCACAAACCTTTCTCTGCGCAACGTTTTCTTGTCGTCCAATTCCCTAGCCGCCAGGCGGCCGAGAAAACCGCATCTGTAACGACGCGCGACGAAGACCGACACTAAGTCGACGCAAACTGCGCCTGCATGAAACAACTGGCTGGCATAAAATTTCCCTCTCGGCCAGGAGGACACGGTAGCTCTTCCAGTGGGCGCTACAATCAAGGCCATGAATGCCGATCCCCAGTAAAGTCCCACCCGCAGCAAGGCAGATAGCCTGATTACCTCAACTCGGAAACCGCTCATAAGTACTACCTACCATCACGTCACTCACAATGTTCTAGCTAGCGAGTTCCATGCCATGCCTTTTTGCCTAAGGAAAGTTGACGTGGACATAGTACTCGGCCCCACATCGTGGACTTCCAAGTCATCATTGAAATGAACACCCTGAAACATTTGGAAGATGTAATGACATGTAAACATTAAAGGAACAAATCCACTATTCACCCTTCACTTCCCTTTTGTCGATTTTCAGGCCAGTTTTGACCACAATTTCTCCGGAGGTATAATTGCGTAAAATTTGCTTCCGAGAAGTCATTTCACCCTCTGAACACGAATATCGAACTAGCTTGCTACGAAAACGCCTGGGCCCAGGCTAAAACTGGTTTGTAGCCCTGGCACCAGAAATTTTTCAACTACAACCTCGATGTGACGCGTTCAGGAGACAAAGTATCCAAGGAAGGAAGTTTTGGCCGATTCTACTTTTGGGACTTCAATCAAAATATGACGTGAATTTTGAAGAGTGAAACAAACGCTTGACCGCGCTAGCCGTTACAATATTGCTAAGTGATGCATACATTAAAAGATATTTTATTACCCACCAATTGGGTTAAAGAAAACCATAGTGAAGTGCAATGTCGCATTCGATACCGACAACTGTTATGGACTTCTACTAAGCCGCGCCCCCACAGAGATAAGATATTGTCAAAGGTTTTGCGCAACACAGCTGGGTGAGGTCACCCTGCGCCCTGTCATTACGCTACAAACATTCGAACGATCAAAATTAAGGAACTGTTTATACGACAACGGGAGCATCCTACTCATTTTCCGTAGGCTTCTTCGATCTCGTGATCATATTACTACGCTGTTTGAGACCAAGGGAAGGAATTCCAACAATACACGTTGATTTCAATAATGGTGAAGATTTTCCGATCTGCTGCCGAGCCATTCCGGACGAAAGGTAAGTGTGGTCATACCTGACAGCACCATTTGAGCGCCCGACAGCGTTTTCAGCGGTACTTGGTAGGGAATTCCATCAATACACGTTGATTTCAATAATGGCGAAGACTTCTTCGATCCGCGGCCGAGCTAATCCGGACAAAAGGCAAGTGTGCGGTCATACTTCATGGCAGCGTTTTGAGCATCCGTCAGCGTTTTTAGTGGTACTTTACCTAGTCGCTCATGACGCCAGATCGCTACCTATCCTCTCCTCCACGCTGAAAACGTGGTGGACGCACAAAGTGCTGGGTAGATATCTATGTTTCCCAGTCGCTCAGAACGCTCCAAACGTTCAAAACGCTGTTGCAAAATATGGGCGCATTCTGAATCTAATCTATTCCACTTACAGGTGCAATCTGCAAACAAAACCAAAGGCTACTATCAGTCTTTAGGCGAAGGTGGTGTAGTGACACGTGGCACGCTTGCCATGCGTGCGGTCCAGGGATCAATCCCGGATCGGCTCCCGCCCAGGCCAACCTAGTACGTTGGCTGGCCCCGCAAGCCGTAGCATTCAGTATACCACTGCGATCCTGAATGGAAGTAGGATGCGTGCTGCATCCCAAAAATGGATTGATTAACGACGAACACTTAATCCTTTTACAGTCAATTTTGGCTAAATAAGCCGTTATATGTAAGATGTGCTTCCCCCATTCCGAAATATGCAAGTTGTCTGATGTATCCCAAGCCTCAAATAAGGGAAATGCGGCCACTAGTAACAAACATTTGTAACAGAAACATTTGTAGAAGTGATTACCTTTCTTTTTTGAGCCTCTCTTTTCGGTCTTGGCGGACAGTCGTAATCAATGCTTGAAACAGAAAAGTTGGAGCTACCACGAGCGAGTTTCAACATCTCCTTAGAGTCCTCAACTGAAATAAAATAGGTAAATCGAACTAGTCAAAGGAATCATTTTCCACTCCACCCATTTCAATCATTTCCACTCCACCCATTTCAATCATTTCCACTCCACCCATTTCAATCATTTCCACTCCACCCATTTCAATCATTTCCACTCCACCCATTTCATTTACAGCGCAGTAAATCAAGACTTTGGAACACTTGGTATCATACTAAAAAGGGTGTATACGCAGAGACGGTAGAGTACCCCTGTCTCCTACTTTTGCATTTTTGTCACTTTTGCTTGCAGAGATCCTAAAGATACAATGAACTGAATGCAGCCCCTCCCCCTCGCGGTACTAGGTTGAATACTATTCATTCGGGACAGAGACCTCTCGTACATCCAGGGCTTGTGAATTGGTTCCGAGCC